AAATTTTCACAAATGCCTAGGGTGCCTAAATGGTTTTCTTGGCTTCACTGGAGATGGATGGTAATTATAGATTTGCTTTGTTTATGTCACCGTATTCCTATTATGTTAATATGTGTGTGCAAATTAGTTAGTAGTTTAAAACCTATACATACTTAAGGTACTCTACAAGAAGATATGTCAAAGAAATAATCAATCCTCCCATGTTTTCTTCCATATGCTACATCTATAGCTTTTCTTCTTCCTTCCTAATTACAACCCTTAAATAGAATTCGTGCCTCATATCGAATTTACCGAGTATCATAATTCCTCCAGGTGGTAAAGATACCTCGAGACAAGTGCTGGGCATAGAAGCCACAGGGCATAAATCTGCAAAGAAGTAAAAAGCTAACCTTTGCAAACAATAAGGCTTCTCTCTCACTTACCAACTTTACATTTCCCTGTATGGCCCCGGAGATGACTGGTTAGCCAGAGACGGGTAAGATTCCTCAAGGGAGGAACAACCTAAGACAGGCACAGTCGCAGGGGGGCCATCGAGTGAGAAATTGGGGATCAACAGAGGTGAGGCTTAGAACCTCACCCCCGCTGTTTTGAGAGAAATCTTCTGCATCCATGGATGTTTTATTGCCTTTGTCTAGCTTGGATTAACACATAGTCTACAGGCACACACCTGATCATCTACATTTGCTCTCTTACAACACTAAACTATGTTTTCTACCTTTATCTTGCATCTACCTACCACTTCAGCATTTTATTAAAAATTATAATAATAGAGAAATGTGGTATCCACATATAAATCAAGTATAAAAATCATACAAATATTCATATTTGAACTGATTGTTTATAGTTCATAATGCATGAGCAAAACCGAAAGTTTCTATGATGACTGCCCTTGTACTGTTCACCATGTAACTTATTCACTATGTAAGAATTTGTTCTCCATGTAAGAACTTGTTTGTCATGCTTCAGAAGATTGGAGACTGACAAAAATTAGGCTTGGGGTGGATTAATGATTGTGCATTGAGCATTGACTCCCCTGTACAGAATTCTATTGTTGTTAACAACCATTTGATCAATAAATATGAGAGATGCCCTCTCAAAAAAAAAAAAATAGAAGGATATAGAGAAAAAGCAGAGGATTATCAGGGGATGCTAATATATTGTGATCAGGGATTGTGTTTTCAGAGGGAAACACGCAGGTCACAGGAATAAAGAACACAGAGGGTGGGCTGGAGGGGGCAGCTATCTGCAAAGAAAGGAAGTCAGAAGGAAAGGAGAATGCCTGGTGATCTGCCCAAATAGAGAAAGGGAAGGGTGGGTACTGCCAAGGAATGCTCCATCCCATTTGTGTTCTGAGCTAGGGAAAGCTGGACCCTCCTGCTTGGGAGGGTAGTGGAAGAGTGCTTCACTGAAATGATGTAATTGCTAGATACTCTCCCTGAACTTTTTTGCCTTCCATGACTAGGAATGAATGACCTAATCAGGCCCCCTCCCTTAACACATTGTCTAGCTCCAAATTTATGAATGTTTCCTCTCTGGGTTCATTTTCTCTCCTCCTTCTCCTGTTTCCACTCTATCTACCAAAGGAGACTGGTCCTATGGAAGGACCAAAGGCAGTAAGGCAAACAGTAGATTGATAAGGACTTAAATCTAGGCTGTGGTTGACACTCATGCAGCAGGAATGATGCTCTTGACCAATAATATACCACAGGCCTATGACTATAGCAGGTGCAGAAAGGAGTAATATTCACATGAAAACACTCATTCTCCAGATTAGTTAGGCCAGGGGTAGGGAAGGAAGGCAATGCAAAGAACCAAGGAGAGCCTTTTTGGTTAATCTCTCACCTCCCAGGCATTGTTGAACAGCTTGCCATCACTTTTAAAGCAGCCATTTATTTTCTGTTTGCTTGAAAGCCAGATCAAAGTCTGCTTTTGAACTTGTTCATCAATGAAAACATATTTCTTCATTCCCTCAAATGTCTTAAAAGTAAGAGCACTGAGCCTGTAATGCAAATCAGCAGTTAGACAAGAGTTAGACAAGAAAGAAATGAGGATGCTATTTACTCAGCAGGTTCGTCACCACTGCTTACTCTGGGAATGAGGCATCCAATCTGGCTATTTGACTACAATGAGTCTGCTGATGGTGGCTCTTTCTTTTGGGTCAGTAAAATGTTGTGAGTGGTAATATGTGAAAATAAAAGTGAAGACAGAATGGACATAATTAGATGCTTTGGGGCCTTCTGGTTTTCCTTTCCTGAATCTGGAAGGGCCTCTGAGAAGTGTAGACTAACAAATACCATTTTCCACAGAATTAACAAGCTCTGGAAGGATAGGGGGTGCCATTAAATGACCAGACTCCTAAGCAAATTGCCTTATTAGAACTGGAATAATCCATACTTTAATTTTATCTGACCCATCTCAGTAAATTTACTTTGAAACCCATGTTGTTTTCAAATCCCCACCCAACTCACCTCCCTCTCTGCCCTCCCAGCCCCTCTTCAGATCATGCCTATATCATTTAAAATAAAAATTTCATCTCTCACCATAGGCTTCCTTTCTGATTCCTCTGCCAAAACACACTATATGAACCATCAGAGTTTTTGAAAGACAACTGCTTTTGATAACCTAAAATACAATATTGTAGGACATTATTTTTTCAATCTAAGAAAGAAGAAAAAGGATGGTGCAGCACCAAGTCCTGGGTTTTGGTGTTAGACAGACATAAATTACTGGGAGGGATCATTTCAGTTTTAATTTCTGAAATGCAGGTTTTCTACCCATAGTAAAAAAAAATAACTGCTACCTTATAGGGTTTTAATGATAAATAAGATTACATGTGACTAAGCCTAGCTCAGCTGGCACTTACTAATTATTTAATGCCTTTTCCTTAAGGTTATTTCACTCCAATCTTATCTTTCTGAAAAGAAAACCCACAGGAATTCTACCCTTGGCCTTTCCTTGATAGAACATTTTACAAGGTTTATACATCATTTCATACATATAAATCTAATATTTCACTACAGTGAAATGCATTTGAGCAAACAAATACAGAAGTTGAAAAGTGAAAGTAGCTTGGCAAAATACTACATGTTAAAAAACCTGAGCTCATAATTTGAAATGTTACTGTCCTAAATCAATGACCACATAGATACTGAAGTCCACAAACAAAAAAAATTCTAAAATTCAGAGTACTTCTGTTCAAATCCACTCTTTTCTCCATGAAACCATGACGTGATAACAGCTTTATGACATGTTGGTACTAGTGACAATTGGTTTCATTTATTATGAGCAGAACATACTTAATCATCTCACCATTCGATAAGAAAGAGAAAGCCTTAGATTTAATTTCCTCTGTCAGTTGTTGAGTAGATTGCAGATAGTCAAGGACATAGGTATCTGATGCTAGTAGGGCAATATTTTGCTCTCCACATCCATAGGGCATTTGGAGAAGATTCTCCAGATTCTGCATTGCAAGTCCTAGAATATCCCCTAAAAAGAGGAAAAGCAGAAAGTTACTGTTACTTATAACTAGCATTTCAGCATTAATTAAAGGTGAAAACAAGGAAAGCTTTCATGAAGTAATTCTAAAGAAGAGACAAGCACGAAGCATGAAGTTAATGGGCTGCTGGTACGAACAGGATTTCTGAAAATCCATTACCAGAGTGCAGGGTGTCGTGGGGTGGTTAGGAAAGTGTGTGTGTTTGCTTGCTTGCTTACTGGTTCATTCTTGAAAAACTGACCTTATGAACTGTAAACTGTAATCCATCCCTCCCCAAAAGTGTTAATGTCAGTGACTGACAAAGAAGTTGCCTTTTGTAAAACAGATTTCTCCTATTACTGAGTAAATTCCCAGCATCTTTAATGAGCAAAGTTTATTCTGATTCTCCAAGGGGGTATTTAATGTTTCAGATTAATTGCTATATCAGAACCCTTTGTTTCCTAAACACCAGTTATCATCCAGCAGAACAACTGTTTCCTAGGTGCACAGATTTGAAAATGGTACCGTAATCCCCTCAGATCCCATATGAAGTAAGAGAATAATCCTCAATAATAACTTCCAATTGATAGTTTAGGAAAATCTCTCCATCCTGATATTTGAAGAATTTTTTTTGAGACCACCTCAGTCAAGATATTCAAGTCATTGCGAAACACAAAATTTAACCAACTTACCCACAACAGTGAAGAAGGCCCTGGCTGATCCATTTACTACATTGTCTGGCAAATCCAAAGCTACTTGCTTGGAGGCTTTGGTACCTGTAAAGAAAATATTAATAAAATAAATAATGTGATGGTTTCTTTTTATAAGCAATGGCATGAGTTTTGTAGGACAAACATATGGGAAATATACTCTGTTATTTATTTTTATTTTACAAGTTGCTTGTTAGAAGAGATGAAATTGAGAATATGATCTAGTTTAGAATAACAATATATTCATGAAATGGTATGCAAATCTGTGGGTTACATAATGGCCTCCCATTCTCCATTAGTTTAGTACCTAACCACTTACACATGAAGAAAATGTAAAAAAAACCTCCTATGACATATAAAACAACACCCACAAAACATAAAGCTTGGAGACTTCTAATAAGTTTTAAAATCAGATCATCAACCAGATGAAAACAATACTGCTGATGGTCATAAAGGCAACTGAGGGGCAGTGATTTATTTATGGGTTGCTTTGCTGCAAGAGTATGAAAACAAAGGTTATATCATGTGCTAGGTGGGCATAATCCTGATTTCCCGCTGTCCACATTGTATGACAGTCATATGGCACGAGGAGCTAAAAGTACACAAGGTGGGGGGAAAATTCCGAAGTAGACCAATGTCATAGGTGAACTAAAAGGAAAAAAAATCTCATAGAAAATACCTTTTTTTTTTTTTTTTGCTAAAATTATACAATGAAGTTAAGGCATGAAATAAAATAATCCTCCATTGGGGGTTGAGAATGAAGTCACTGAGGTGCTCATCATGGCAAGTGGACTAACAGGGAAGGAGAGGAAATACACTGATCCTGCTGATAAATTTTCAAGGATTGTCTTGACCACCCACAACATCCTTTTACCTTTTGTGCAGATAAGGAAACTCTGAGTCACTTCTTTTTCAACACCTTCAGGCTGTCAGAGAGTAAACAAAAACAAGCACAAAATAATGAATCAGGGTCATCTTTCCATGACAGAAAAGCAGTCAGGCATCAGCTTACATAGGCATGACTGGCACATTTGTCCCTGGGAGAAGGTCCACTTATTGTCCCACTTCTGTTTAAATCTAGAAGTTACTCTATCTCACCAACAACCATTTTAGGCCCTGTGTTTGCATAGTTTGGACAGAGATAACTTTGACATCACTGTGGGACTCTCTCAAGTCCTCTGATCCTGTTAGCATCTCCAGTGGACAAACTAAAGTGTTCTGCAGAATAGGAACCTGCCAAGAGGCAAGGTGAGAATTCTCCACTGACAGGTGTTGGTTCTGTCTGAGGAAGATGGAACTGCACAGTAGCATAGGAGAAGCAGATGTGCCTCAGGTTTGAGAGTCAGTTAAGAAAGGGGAAGGAAGAAGAATCTATTCAGCCTTAAGAAAAAAGAAATCTTGCCATTTGCAATAACATGGACAGATCTAAAGGATATTATGCTCAACTGAAATAAGTTAGGTGGAGACAGACAAACACCATATGATTTAACTTATTTGTGGAATATAAAATCAAAACAAAAAAATGAACAGAACAGTACTAGACTCATAGACCCTGAGAAGTAACTAGTAGGTACCATGGGGAAGGGGTAGGGTGATAAAGAGGCACAAAAATTCCCAATCATAATATAAGTTGGTCACAGGGATGGTAGTACAGCATGGAGAATACAGTCAATGATTCTCTAACATCTTCCTATGTTGACAGATAGAAACCGCACTAGTAGCGGGTGACGATTTGATAATATGGGTAGCTGCTGAACCACTGTGTTGTATACCTGAAACCAATATAAGATTGTGTATCAATGATACTTCAATAAAAACAATGACATGTCTTATGTCAAAAGTAATTCAAGTAATTGAGTCTCTTCAAGGAGAATGTTGTTTTATATTTAACTATTAGACACTGTCTATTTCTTATCTGGAAGAGCTCAATAACTTTGCATGTACTTACCTCGACCAACAAACTTTTGACCACGGTATCTTTCCAGTTTCGATTGTGCTGCTCAGCTGCTATGCCTGGGCAAGCATTGCTTTGTTTGGACTCGGCAACTACAGTGATATTCACTTTACCTGGAAAGCATTCCCAAATATAAGTTGAATTGACCACTGGCCCTTTCATAAATTTGCAAAGACTGGCAATCATTGTGGTTAGGAGCAATTTTGGTGTGACATGGATTTACCATGTGAGTGAGAGGGAAGAAACTGGGCAGCATTAATGAAAATATGGCATTCATTTGAGAAATTATGTAAGGATTCGGTAGGTCATGGAAATTAGCATTTACATAGTATTTCAGTCACATTATGCTTTTATACAAATGAAAGGTGGTTTTGCCCTACACAAGCATTAGCAACCAGAAATTAGATTATAAAATAAGATTACTTTGAATTGAGAATTTTTTAAATGGAGGGTTAAAATGTGAGAGAGTAAGTTATGTTTTTACAGAGGACTTAAGTAAAATAATGGAGGCAATAAAATTGGCTGGTTTTCACTGAGACATTGGCATAGACACATAGATAGATACATACCCAGTTTCTTCGGGATAAGAGTCCAGATGTATGTTTTCTTCTCTCCAGCTTGGATAATCTCACTGCCATCATTTTGAGCAGTGCTGATATTTGCCTCAAAATTCTCAGATGCTTCCAGCTGAACAGAAACCTTAAAAAAAGTCATGGCAATGAGGGAGGCACCATAAATAGTTCATTATTATTATTATTATTATTCCTCCTAGAGAAAATTCTGATGTATCTATTTTAAGTAGGCCAAAATAAAATATCAAAGGAGTACCCTCACAAGAAGAGAAATATGGTGGAATATATATCATTACAAAATGACATTCTCAAAGCAGTATTAAATCATCGCTGTGGATTGAATCAATTGTTTCTGTTTGTGGAACGTGGAAACAAGTCTTATCACTATACACTACCATTTTGCATTTGTGAATTAAAAGAACATGCCGATATTCGAGAGATAATATTAAGGAATCTTTTGGCCCTTAGATTCATCTGCAGATCAGAGGGAACAGCTTACCTCTCCACATGTATTTTGGTAGCTGTAGACACTGACAATCAAATCAGATTGTTCATTTCGGACAACTGAAAAGGGGAGGGTCATGTCAACAAAGAAAGACTGGGAGACTTGCAGAGGAATTGTGGACGAAATGCCAAATCCCACATCACCATTCACACAGAAGCCGTTTGCCTCCCATTGGGTTAAAGTATCAGGGATGCGGTATGACAGAGTGGCTGAACCTGAGGAACTACAAAGAGAGGTGATTGGTAAAACACATCTTTTGTCTAAACCAGGGACCTAAGTTTAGTCAAGAGCAAACAAAAGAGGATCAATTGAAAGTTAAAATTGAGTTATAATGTTTGGACAGGACATTAGGTAAAACTCCTGAGAGCTGGATTTCTATAAAATACAACCTTAGATCACAATTCTTTAAACACTGCATAATTTTTTTAAATTGAGGCAGCTGACATTTGTTTGCATGCAATTAATAGGTGAGAAATCATGCTAGAGAAAAAAATAAAGTATGTGATAAGTACATATAAATGAATGGTTTTGTATATTTTACAAATGTAGTACTGCTTTCTATACCCAAAAAGGAAATTCAAGAATTAAAGGCAAAAAATAAAAATAAAAAATAAAAATAAAGACATATAGGAAAGAAGACTGTTAAAAGCTCACTTGACTCTGACTAGGTCCCATATCCATGTCTCTGGAAAGTTTGTTCTTACTGTTTCCATTATAGCCTGTTCTGCATAGTTAAAATCTTGCTTCAGGACTTCACCAGCTAAAAGAAAAGTAAAATGTTTCATTTAGAGAGAATAAGGTACATGTTTCAGTGACACACCTATAAGCTATGTCTTTAACCACACATGATTAGTGTTAAGCAATATAGGTGTTTGCTCTTGGGGCTTACTGCCAGTAAATGTACATCACAAGTTAGGCATCAGTGTTTTGATGCCCAGATCTGTCCCGTTATTAGAAACAACAGCAACAAAAAATAACAACCAACCTACATGCTTCCTTCACAGCTAAATTTAGAGAAAGTGATGTCTACTCATTGATTAGAATTTCTCATTTGACATTCAGGCATCTGCCAGAAAGCAATCCAGGGTCCACCAGTTCCACTGTGCTAACGTAACTTCTGCTTAAATTTCTAATGACATGAATATTGCTAATTCTGAAGAGCAGTATCTTTCACTTGCTTGGCCTCTAGGCTGTATTTGACGTTGTTCATCACCACGTCCTTTTCTAAACAGGCACTATTGTTACCTCCATAACACCACAGCCTTCTAGTTTTCTTCTCATTTCCTTTGCCACTCTTGTTATGCTATTCTCCTTTGAGAATGTAGTCCCCTCATCTTTGATTTGCTCCTAGGAGCTCTGTTTTAGGTCCTCTTCCTTTCCCTATGCAGTCTCCTCATTGATAAACTCACATGCAGCTTCACTGTAATAGTTATCCTGATGTATCTAAATCTGTGTCTCCGACCTGGACCTCTCTTCTGAGCTCTGGATTTGTGCAAGCAGCTTCCTTGGGCACATTTCTTTTTGGGTGTTTTACAGGCATTTCAAAAATAAGCACTGTTCTTAAAGTAAACTTATTTTATCCTTTCCCTGCTTCTCTCCAGTATTTCCCATCTCCATGGAAGGAACCAAAATCCACCCACTTGCCCATACTAGAAACTTAAGAATTGTCCTTGACACCACCCTGCCCTTCAGTATTTCCTATCTTAACCTACTGAATGAAATGGCTTGAAAACAGCTTCTACCTCTATTTATTTTCTCTATTTCTATTGCCTTTGTACAATTGTGCAAGCAGCACAATTTCTCAACTTAATTACTAGCAATTATAACATTTCATTCAGGTGGTCTTATACAGCTGAAATTCCAGTCCCTTTTCCCACTGAGCAGCCAGAGCTAGCTTTCAAAAAAATGCATATTGTGTTGCTTAAAATTTTTCAGTGGTGCATTATTTCATTAGAATGATTAGCATCAAATGCCCTACAAGGTCTTCATCATTTGACCATTTACCCCTCTTGCTTTAACTATCTTTACTCTTGCCCTTGACCTACCTTCTGCCATTTTGAAGAGCTTTTACATTCTTACCTTATCTTTTATAATACTTCCCTCTGCTTGGAATGTCCTTCTAACATGTTTTGTTGTGTATTATCATTCATTTTTCAGTCATTAGTATAATGATACTTCCCCCAGGAGGACATGAGGCTCTTGAGAAATTTAGGTTTCTATTCATATTATTTCCATGTAAGGCACTCTTCCGAGGTTTTTGGAATTATCTGTTCCTTTCTTTTCTTTTCTTTTTTTTACTGTCATGATTCCCTGATAGACTAAAAGTTCCAATAAAGCAGAGACTAAGCTACTGTATTTACAATATATAACTCAGTTTCTGGCCTCAGATGAATGTTTGTTTGAATGAATGAATAACTAAAGAAAGAAGAGCCTAAAATGAATGACCTTGGGTTTCAGCACATTTTACTCAAAGATACTAAAATGCTAAGATGTTGCTGAAAAGCTCACTAAATATAGTTTAGTAGCAGAAAAGTAGGTAGTTTTCTACCTCTTGACTAGATCTGCAAAGTGGTTTCAACTTCTGAAGTTCATAGGGCCCCTGGAACACTCACTGAGTGTACCTCTGTGCAAAGTTGTCAGGCTTTTCATTTTTCTCAACTGGAGATTCTGACAGCCATCTTCAGGATCAGCCCCACTTCAGTTACTGGCCTGATCTCAGTGTTAGGCCAGAGCAATTGAAAGAATGCTACTCAAGTATTTTCAGATCTGGAATACAGCGTTGATTTTGTTTTATTCTGATGATCTTGCTTCATTTTGTTTCCCTGACAAATTTCTATGTTGGAAATCTGACTGATTACCTTATTCATCTAAGACTATGGCCTATGGCTGAGTTCTGTGCTTACAGTCCTTCCAGTAGGAATGGACTATTCTTTGAACACACTTTTCTGATGCCAGCTGTTGGGCACCCTGGGAATCAAACAACCCTCTTCCTGGAACTCTATGTGTTAAGCTCTACATGTAGTAAGGGCACTTTGCTCTCCTGTACCATACTCACTTATCATGACTGTTCTCACATATCACCACACATTGCCTGCCCCTATATACTTCTAATACTATGTTCTACCAATTAAAATAAACATCTTCTCAACTCTGAAGCTAATTCTTCCTTTCAGCCCAAACCATTCCCACTTTGCTTCACTCTGCTTTATTCAACTGCAGGCCATCTCCAGACACAAAAATCCTGGATTACCCACCCGCAATTCTAGATGCACCACTGTACATAGGCGCATAGTCTTCTGAGGCTAGATACAATGGCCGAGGGAATGGCATCCTTCCCGGTGTTGGACATACTTCCGGTTTCCGGTAATGGAGATTAGTAAAGACTTTCAGACCCATATCCTTCAAAAAATCAAACAAAGAAAAGTAGTCACACATTCCTTTCATGTAGGACCTAAAGGAAGTCTATCAACTATATTACAATGATAGATAGATGATAAATACATGTGTTTCCTCTGCTAGCAAATGTCTGGGATTTTAGAAGTCAAGTCACGTCTATATGATGAATAGAAAATCTCTAATTTGGAAGAAAAATGATAATCACTATGATTTATCTAGCAGTTATGTGTTAGAATTTTGCTAAGTATTTTACATCATTATTCATTTTTTATTATAAGGGGAAAATACTTATGAGAGTATTTTTATGAGAGGCACTATCATTATCCTAATTAACGTCACACACACAAACACACAATACACAATGTACAGTAATTTGGAGAGCTGGGACCTAAACTAGAGTCCTTCTAATTCTATGCCTGTTTTCTTCTACACCTGTGACTTCAGTTATAAAGATCTTTCATGGAGGCCTCACTGTAACTAATTGATGGCCCAGATATAGAGAGGGCCCAGACTATATTGTAGTCCCTTGAGGTGATAGCTTCTGCATAAAATTTATCATAAGTTGAAGACTGCCTCATTACTTCGAACACGAGGTTTTATAACTTCAGCTACCATTTATTTTCCACAAAACAGAGAAAATCAACAAAAATTAACTCCTTTCTATAAGATAATTCCCAAGTTCTCTTGAACCAGATTACTGACACCAGTCCCAAAGAATAGGAAGACAATGATATAATTAATAAGTCATAGGTATACATTATGAATACTAACATTAAAACTGATGAAATAATTTTTAAAATCTTAAGTGCTCTTACCCTGACAATGTCATAGGTGTCTCCATCCCCATAGTTGCTTACAGGCACATAATACAAACCATTGAGGAACATATCCTTCTGAGGAATGCAAGGGTCTATCTTGCCATCATCAAGGTTGAGATCATGATAGACATAACCACGTAGTTCTGAATTTGGAAGCAGGTTGTATATCTATGGGAAAAATCACATGGTTCCCAAAGATTTGGGGCATCATTTTTATTTTAATAAAATTGGAAAATTTATGCCAAACCCTGTATTCTCATTCTTTTCTTTAAGATCATAGTCATAATATTTAATTCAACACTTTTGAGTCAACTCATTCTTCCAGAAGAGGAAAGCTGCAATTCTGTTTTAGGTGGTCAAGGTCATGTTCACATATTTTTCAGCTTTGGTGCAGATTTAGGACAGCATGTAAGAAAGCTGTGTCTGAAGATCTATGGAATAATCCAAGGCCTAGTGTACAGATAATTCATTGTGATTATAATGCTGGAACTCCCAGGTCTGTAGGAAAATGGTAGCTATCTGATTCTAAATCTTCTTGTATATCCTTCCAAAGAAAATAGAAAGTCAGAAAGAACTGGTACACCCATAACTTACGTCTTTAACATCACTAGGATACAGATAATACAATGACCTTCAAATTACTTGTTCACAAAGAAATAAACACCAAATTCCAACAGAGATCCTACTGTTGCTGAAAATCTGAGGTTATGGAAAGCTGAAGCAGGCTTAAGAGACAATATGAAAAATGAGGAGACTGGCATGGAGAAATCAGAGGAAATATACACCAAATCCACTGCAGATAAAGGTAAGTACATTGTCAAAATATCAGTTATAGCCCTAGGGTAGTACTCAGTGCGAGATACAGGGAAGGGGCTTGAATGGATGGACCTGGGACTGGAAGCTTCCCAAACGCATGGCTGGTGGGAATGATGAGGTCATGGGAGCTGTGGTGGCCCGTGGCAACAGGGCACTTAAAGGAGGGAAGGATGTGAGAGGGCAAAATTTAGGACATGGCAGAAACAAAAGAGAAATGAAATATGCCAATCTCTCCACCTGTTTCCGTCATGAACAACATTTTTATTAAAGAAATTGCACTTCACTAAAACAACAGTGAAACTATCTACAAAATATCAAGGACTGGAAAAAATTAATTTCATACCATGTTGCTGTAGGATAAAAGAGAAAATGCAAATTGAAACATTTCAGCTGGTGAAACTTCTCTGCTAAAGTAACTAACTAAATAGAGAAAAAACATACAAAATAAATATTTCATGTAAATGAAATACTCTAAATCACTCCTTTGAGGTATTTTTTAAAGGTTCATGAATTAGAAATTCAATAAAGAATGAAAATGAAGAAAACCCAGGAAGAAATAAAATGAGAATTTATTGAAGTCAGAAATAGTCAAACTCATATTAGAAATACATTCTAACATATAAGAAGCTCAAGAAAAAATAGCATAGAAGAAAACTTTTAAAAGCAGCATAGGAAAAAAAATAAAAACAAGAGAAAGAATGAATTAAAATAGATGAATTGGAAAGCAGACAACACAATGTATTTATATAGTTTCTTAGAGGGGGAAAGTAACAGTGGAGAAACTAATACTTAAAATTATAGTTTTGGAAATAAAGAAGATTTGAGTTTACACATTGCATGCATCCACCAAGCACCTGGCAAAAATTCCCCAAACAATACGTTCTGAGAGATATATTTACTAAAACTATTAGATTTTAAGCATAAAAGAAGAAAAGCCTGCAAAGCCTTCAGGCAAAAGATCAAATAATTTACAAGGGCAAATGAATTAAACTTTTATCAGAATGCTTACGACCAATATTCAAAACAAGGTAAAGTCTCTAGAATTAAAATAGTGTGGCACTGACACAAAAAGAGACAGACAGACCAAAGGAACAGAATATTAAGGTCCAGATATAAACATAACTACAAATAGAAATACAGTATGTAATAAAGGTAGTATTTCAAATTATCAGAGCAAAGATGGTGTTGTATCTACTGGATAGCCATTACATTGTTTTTAGAAAGATTATTATATAATACTGTGCTATAGTCCAAAGAACTAGTCCTTCCTGGAAAAAACAGTTGTTTACAAGGCTACTGCAAAGAAAGTACAAGATGGTTCTAGAACATCTTGTACCAGAAAATTGGCAAGTGCTAAAAACATGATCTGGGTATGTCACAAGGACATAGAGACCAACTTGAAGATGCTACCACTGCGAAAACTTGGGACAACTTTAACATAAAACTAATTAAGGATAGTAATGAATTATAATCTTTGAGAAATAAGAATCCTTGCATCTATAAGTAAAGAGGAAGAAGTGGAATTATAAAATCTCCTTGTTTCAACTATGATACCGATATTGGTTCAGGTAAGAATTATAAGGGGATGGTAAATCTAAGAGGAAATTTCCATGAGGAACTGGATGTACAAATAGATATTATTAAAACTGTTTTAAATATGATGATAAATTTCAATATTTATATGTACTTGTGTTAAAAATAAAGAGAAAATATCCAACAGTTATTAACTGCAACAATTTTAATGTGAAATTCTGGAATTGCTGGTCTGGAAATCCTTATGAAAATGTAAGATCCTTTAATAGATAATAACTTTAGACTGTATCCAAGCATATCCTCCAACATAGAGATTTAACTCTAGGTTTCCATATATACGATTGCATCAGTGGTTTTTTAAAAATCACATTGTTGCATAATCCCTCACCCATTATAATTATCTATAGAATTCTGTATTGCTGCTATACATGCTGGGTCAGCCAAGAAAAACAAGTGTATAACCCATGAAGGAACAAAGGAAGAAAATATTTGGTATTTTTAACACATTCCATCTCAAATGAAAATATCATCTGAAGGGTAAGACTTGTAGATGCCCAGATAAAAATGAGGAAAACAAGGAAATCGGAGAACTTACACTTTCAGCTGACAGCTCTTTCTCCGGTTTCAGTAGAAGAACACTTTTATCCACAGCCCGCAGGGCACAAAACGAGTCTGGGGCTGCTTGGAGGTAGAGACTAGTATTGGAACCAGGTAGCCCCTGCTCCTTAGAGAACTTTATGCTAACCTAAAGTCAAGAAAAAAAGAAGAAGGAAGGGGAGCAAGATAATTTTATATAAAAATAATTTGATACTCAATCTCTTCCAAATACATCTTTATAGATCTCTGCAGCTGTGTTTCTCCTGCCCACTCTCACCCTCAACTCTCCTTCAAAGGACATCTCTTTCACCAACCTCCTTTGTTTAAGGCTTGGTATTGCTGCCAAAAGTTATTCATTCTGTTTGGTTATTCTCTGACCCCTTAGTAATTTGATTATACCAACATTTGCTGTGAGATGACCATGTACAGGTTATAGTAGTCAGACAAGAAGGAGACAACAGGGATAAGAGTGTTTACCCCCGAAACTCAGGACAGGCAAGAAACAGAAGAAACATCACCTTATTTTTAAAGCACTTGTCCATCTGGAATCTGACACTGTCAGCCACAATTTCCCCGCTGGGGTGAAAGGTGTAGACAAGCATGACAGCCACAGGAGCCAGATCGGCACTGGTGCGGATCGGGAATGAGAAGTTTCCGTTCCAGGCTGTGTGAACAGCAGATGTCATCAACACACACAATGCCATGTGTGCTGGCTAACTGGGTACATTAAGATAAGAGAGAATGGCTTCTAGATAGAAGGAGCAAATTGAGCTTTGTTTGAAAGGCAAAACAAATAATGGGAATTACATATATGAATAAAGAACACTGTAGAAGTTAGATAATAACCCTAATTTGGGTTTGGGACATCACTTTTCTGTAATGTGCTTGATAACCTGGCAATAATAGAAACAAGTTGAAATCTCCTTCATCAAAATATTCAATAGGTTACCCTGGGCCATGCCAACTATTGCCCTCCATCCACAAATTCTAATGTCAAGTGCTCTTCCTAACTCCACCACCAAAAGAAAGAAAAATGAAGGTAGAATGTATATTTTAAAATGAATATATTGTATACACCTTTGTTTCTGATTTCCTTTCGTCCACTGAGGAAGATAGTTCCTTTTGCCATCACCTGCGCAGAATACAGAAAACACAATATGTGGCATCATATTAGCTGATATGACATCATATTATTATAAGATAATGAGTAATCTAATGAAAATTCTATTCTGTACGATAAGGTAGCTCCCACAAACAAATATTAAAAATAGAATCTGCACAACTTGGAAAAGAACAGAGAAAAAGTGACAATTGAGATCCTGTTATGGGCTGGAAATATGGTAAATAATATGTAATGTACCGTGCAAGGGGGTGGTGCATAAAGCTCTGAAATTGTTTAGGCCGGTTTTGAATAAGCTGAGTCATTTCATTTCTTGACCTCTATTCTTTTATTTGCAAAATGAAGATATCCATAGAGCTGATTAACAAGGTAATACATATAAAGCTCTCATAATACTGCTTGACACATAATACTTACCCTAGGAGGGAAGTCTTATTATTTCCAATTACAAATATACAGCTAAGGAAGCTAAGGCTTTGAGAATTTAAACAGCCCATCCAGGAGCAACTAGCTTGCATGATAAATAGGAGAGGATGGAGGATTCCAGAGTCTTAATTTCCAAATCTGTAGTTTTTCACCTTTCAGTATGCCTTATAGAAACAAACTGGATAAATATGGGGGACACAGAACCAAAAGGACTAATTCCTCTTATTTTGATAAATCAAACTTCCACTTTACTCTCTGGTGTCTGCCTAATATTTTACTCTCAGGAAGAGTTGTAAATATTTGATATGAGTTACAATTGAATGCTTAAAACAGCAGACTCTGAATAGTAAATTTCTCAACCTTAGGGAGAGGGAAATTGCCTTGGGCCCTTTTCTGTGTGTGTTTATTTGTTTCTGTATGTTTTTAATGAATCCAATAGTATTCACCAGCAAAGTGAGAAGGTTGGCTCACTCAGATTAACATGGCATGACCGGTGTGCACTCTAAACCGTACTGTGCTCAGCAGACCACTAGGCAACTGAGACTTACCAGATAAAATAAGTTTATGTTTGACTCATCCCTATATGCTTCACTGTTTAGGGAGTAATGCACAGTAACCATCTTCTGTTGATTGCATCTAAGCTGTTTTGCTTCAGGAACAATCTTCAGGAAGCTGTTGGTTAGGGAGTAAAAGCGTGAGACTGAAAAATGGGCATCCACATAGTCAGGTGTCAACCAGCTGGACAGGTGGCAGCTCTGAGGTCGAATATATGTGGCCTGATAAGATAGAAAGCAAAGGATTTTAGAGCTATAAAGGCTTTTCAAGGATGGTAATTATTACAGAAAGGGAAACTTCTTATTTCTTCAAAGTAGGGAAGAATCTTAGCTTGGGGCTGATGTTTCAAAGTTAAGTTATTAGAAGTAAAATCATTATAGCACTCTTCTTTTTGTATACACATGACCATAATTATATGTCTATTTCATTAGGTTACAATGAATTGTTTATTTTTTTTACTTTGTAATCAAAGACAGAAAATAGCCTTAGGTGCTGTGTCCTTCAGCTACATTTCAATACTGACAAATTGTTTAACTGCAAAATTCTGTTGAAGAAGCAGAAAAAGAGAAATTACATTATCTCTTCTATTAATGCCTGAAATGATCAAAGGAAAAAAGCCAAATCATCTTCATGTGCTATTTCTAGTTTCTCAGAGGAAAGTATTCGTTGTTAGAGAATTTATAGCAATTGGCTATTCTCTCTCCCTCTTGAATAAATATTCTCATGTATTATTTAAGAAATAAGTAAACATAAAATACCCTAAACTTTAAACCTTTGGTAACATATATCCTAAGTAGAAGGTGTCTTTTCAGAGATTACTAATATTCAAAATTCCTAACATTCAAATCCTCTGTGGGATATCATCTACTCTTTGATATCATACTTTCAAGTTGAACTCCGGATCGAATATATCTGAAGTGTCAATGGAAAACTGAGCTTCACCATTCTCATCTGTGGTGTAATTTCCTATAAATTTGCCACTGAGCTCCAACTGCAGTAACTTGTTCACCATTGGTACATTATTAGGACCAGAAAATTTAAGCTGTAAAACAAACAAAAAAAGAAGTATTAATTTTTAAAATTCAAAATGTCACATTTCTATTGAGAAGCAATATTCTGTTCATAAATATGATCATTTATTTGTGATTTTCCTAAATTCCAATAGACAAAAAGACGTTTTATTAAGTAAATATATAATATGGAAACAGCTATAATTTTATCTGTCATTTTCTTTTAGCCTAGGACTTTCTCCAGTCTATCAGATGAAGTAGTGCTATAAATAAGATATGAAAGTACAAAAAAAGTGTCTGGGAATTTTCAAAGGGTCAATTTATGGTCCAAGAAAATGAAATGAAAACATAGTCAAACGTACAGTTCCAAAATAAGAAATTCCTCTTCTATAGTAAGGATCCATGTTCTCAAAGTTCACGCTGCCAAGCAATTGAGTGATAAAAATAGAAGACTTTTCACTGATCTGGACACCTGTAAGAAATGAAAAGAATCTCAGGGAGGATGAAATATTTGGTCAACAATTTCAAAAGAACAAATAGCTTAAGTTACATGTTCAAGTTCTATGCACAAAATCATATTTTTCTTCTACATGGAAAGGGAGGCATGGACACTTTGGAGCATATTCAAGAGTACTCTATATCTATTTAGTGATAGTTTACATAAACTTAATAAAGTAATTAATGTGAACATATTTGAATCAGAAGCAGGAGAAAACACTCAATTTCCTCCCTCCTTCCATTTCACTCAGTTCTGACTCGTAACTCTATGTGTCATAGAAATCTCAAGAATAAGGCTTTCACTTCCTGGAATTTTCCTTTATCCTTCCAGATAACTATTTTTTAGACTTTTGCCAGTTTAAAAGATATCCAATACAAAATAAATAGAAATGCATTGTAATATCAATAAAGCATGTGATATGCAGAGGCAAACATATCTAGCTAAGCTGCAATATAAATATGGCAAACTTGCTATGAATGCCATCAGAATATTGATCAAGTATATTTATATGAAGCACTTTATAAATAATATTGACTTAATCATTTTTAAGTAACAGGAAATATTTAATAATTGAACCTGTTTTTCCCCACCCCAAATTAAATTTCACTTTCCTCCTCTTCATTCTTTGAACAATATGTATTAAGCACTCTCTCCCACTAATAGTTTTTGCACTTGCAAAAGTCCCCAGTTGTCAGAGGTTGACAAACTTCTGTAAAGGACCTGATTGCCATCATTTTAAGCTCGTACCACACTGTCTCTTTTTCAACTACTCAACTTTGTTGCTGTAGCTCTTATTAAGCAAAGTAAACAAATGGGTTCCAATAAAACTTTATTTACATCAGCAGGCAGGGAGCTGGATCTGACATTCTATATATAGGTTACAAACTCTTGATTTCAATCAAAGATTAGACCCTTGCAACTGACTACACAAAGTTAAAAAGAGATACCAAATTTATTAGCTTAGTTCTACCACTTCAGAGGGAAGCTGCTCTGACTGATACAGACACAGGAGCAGATATAAACAGGCAGCATTTACATAATGATTTTATTTTAAATGTTATTTACATAATTTTATTTTAAATACTATCATTAAAAGCAACCTTCAAGTTGACCTATTGGAAAATGTACTCCAATTTGCTCTGTAGTCAGTATTACTAATTCAAGAAGCTTTCCCCCAGTGAGCTGCATAAATCTCCAAGTTGTCCATAAAAACGATCATTACCTGTCCCAATTTCTGTAACAGTTACGCTGATCTGAAATGACATGAGAAATCCAGAACGGTAGAGTTGGAAGACTTTCGTATTGACAATTTGAGACACACAACCATTTCTCAACTGAAAAATATAGAGAAGGTACAATGAAAAAGTTATGGAGGGAGTCAAAGGCTTAAAAGAATATGAAGTTTCAGCACAGATAGATAACTTGCCCCTCTGCCTGATGGCTCCACATCACAAAGTTGTTGAATTGACCAAAGGATAACCAAAGGGTAGGGGGCATTTCATTAGCAATTGGAAGAAGGTAAAGAAGTATGTATATTTTACAGATTTCAGTGTTAGTCTCCTGGAAATGATGCAGATGGAAGCAAATTAAAGAATGAAAATGAAATTGAATGATATTTAAAGAAGAAGAAAATAAAATCATCTTGAGAGGCACTATGAAGAGATGGAATGGAAGCACTCTTCAAATATATAACACCAAAACAGTTTTTAGGGTAAATTGTTCATTTCAAATAAGGGAAAGTCTATAGATACTTTTTCATTGGTGACATCAGTAATTAAAGAAATGTAGATTTCACTATATTTAAAAATAAAAAGTATTAATTCCAAGTTCAAAATGTTACAGGGATATATCAATTCATCTGATCCTCAAAACTACCATATGAGCTACACACTATTATCATCTCCACTATATGGATGAATAAATTGAAGCACAGGCAGGTCATAAAATCTCTAAGGTCATAGTTAGAAGGTGGTGGAACTGACCAGGCATTTTGATTCCAGAGTATGTGCTTCTCTGAAATATCAGCTATAAGATCAACAGCAAAAGGCAATTTTACTTCCTCTGATTATAATCAAGCAAACTAAAAAGAAATAAAAGATAATAAGAAAAAGTGTGATTGCTTTGATATTAAGAGAAAACATTTTTCAGTGATCCCTGAGTCAAAAAGAAAACATAATGTAAATCAGGAAGAATCTACACATTAGTGTCAAAGAAAAAATGCTTTGCACAAAAATCTATGGTGTTAAGCTGTGGTCAAAGGAAAATGTAAAAACTGAATGTGTTTTTAAAACAAGAAGCAACTAACTTTTTACAAAATCAACAAAATAAAGTAATATCTTAGGGAAAAGAATTAAGAAGATGAAAACAAAATTATTTAGGAACACAAAAATAATAAAAACAAAAGTAAGTTAGACCAATAAAACAGTTGAATATTTTATGAGTATGATTTAGAATAAAGAGAGAAAGCAAAATTGTACAAGATTAAGTTTTAACACAACTGAATATCCATCTGGAAGAAAGCAAAATTTCTTATTTTAGAACATAATAAAAAACTATGTTGATTAGAGAAATATTTTAAATCTTAAAAGCATACTTAGCTACAGTGCAATAGAGTGGCAGGTGGGACTTTTTTTTAAGTCTGAGAATCCATAAACATGAAGAACCTTGGTATTTCAAAAAATGCCACAAAGTCAATATTTAAATAACAGACATGGAAAAAAATTGCTTAGAGAATAGAGAGTAATAGTCATAAAAAATAAAGTTTCAATTTCACATGAGCAGGAAAAACAGGAATAATTAAGGGTTCTCAGAACAAATTCAGACTAATAACAAAAATATGTTCAAACTCAAAAACATTTTTATAGTAATGCAGATTTAGACAAAATAAATTTGTGTTTATCAAAATGGCAAAAGTTTCAAAATGCCTATCTATATTGCTGGCAGTAATTTTGGAAATACAATATTCTCATAAATTGCTGAGAGAAATTTGAGTGCTTCAATACTTTTTGGACAATATACTAATATTTTTAAATTAAATTTATGTATGATTCTATCTATGATCATCAATCTATTTTCACTCAGGAAAACCACTTCAAGGAATCTATCTCAGATTAATTAAAACCTCATATATATAGTTTTAACAGATTGTTTATTGTTATTTTTTACACTGGGGAAGAAAAACATTAGCTAAGAAAACATTCATCACGTGGTAAAACGGTTGACTAAATAACATTGTAACCACACCATGGAATAAAATGATGGGGAAAAACTCCACTAACCTTTCTTAGCCTGTAATTGCTATCTAAAAGATGGGTTTCTGCTTGTCTTTACCAAACATGGATATTTACCTAAAGGATGAATTTGGTGAGTAGCTTCAGGATAATCAGACTGAAAATATAAACTGTGTGGTATATACAAATTTCACTACTGGAGTCCAACGGTGATCCTTAAAGAGACAGGCCGAGTTGTTCACTTAAGGTTAAGAGGCTGTAGGCCAAGAAAACAAATAGTGGCTTCAAAAATGAACCTCAGATCTTACGTAATAAAGTAGGTACTCTGAATCGCAGATGTTTGTAAATGAACTTTTCTTATAAGGACAATTCTAGGTCACATGATGGAAAGTACCAGGGATTCATTTATTTAAAGGATAGGTGATTCCCCAAAGATCAGTGAGGTCACCTAGACAGTATATAAAACAAGGAAGCCAATAATTTTTCAAATTCTAAAAATTTTATGTATCTATTACATAACAATTTACATGGCTAGAGATGAAGGGACTGTTGTTAAACACTGTATTTTCTCCTCTTCCTTATCTATCTGCAACCTCCATTATCCAGAAAATGAAAATAGTGGTGCAAAAATATCAAAAGGAGATAGTGTTAAGTCCTTTTTATAACTGAAATCAAAGAATAGTAATGAAAATGAACAAGAACTTTTTTTGGCATAAAGATCATCATGTTCTGTACCTGTGCAATAAATTGTTCGCATATTTCATTGTTGTCTTTCTCACAATTCCTAGAGGAAAAAAATTCTCTGCACACCCGGATTTGGGCTTTCCCTTGCACAGGTTGGCCAAAGGTGTACCTAATGGAAGAAAGTGTACTGGTGATTAGAGAATAACAATACCAGGGATGTATTTTATGGTCTTGTTCAGAAATTATTCATGAAATCTCAAATCTATGACTATCCCAGTGACCAAATTCCATTAGGAATCCTTCATCTACTGGTGTCAACCTTCCCCACAGAATTTAGGTTAATTAGGCATTTGGTCTGTTAGGATTCAGCTGCTTTTTGAAAAACCAAATTCAAGGTAATAGAGAATCTAAAATCTCAGTGAATAGGATATAGTGATTAAATTGAGTTTTTAAAATTAACTTTAATCTGATAGAAATATTATCAAAATTGGTTGAAGCACTTCTTTCTTAGCAGCATATATATTTGTATATAAATAAAACATGGATTTTTCAGGATCTTAAAATACTTCTAGATCAGTATTTTAAACAATTCTCATTTTACTACTCGACGAACATAAACTATATGTACTTTGACCAAAAGTATAGGGTTGGATTAAAGACATATTTCATTTTCTCCTAAAACACATATAAAACTACAAGTTTTTTAAATGTTCAATCAAAAGCAAATACAGTTGATTTGTGTTTTTTTCTTCCTTGATGATTCTTTCCACTAAGATTTAGAAAAACTGAAAACAAATGTGCAATTAGTATATAGTAAAACTGAATATAAATTTACTGATTATAATAATTTTTTTCTTAATTGTTGAACACTTGTATATAGCCAGTGTTTACATACACTGTCTCATTTTTTCATCCCAGTGACCCTTATCTTTAGGAATATTATTTCATTTTATGCATTAGTAAATTGAGATCAAGTAACTCACTTCTTCACATTGTAATTGAAGGAATTAAAATTGAAACTCAGATTTTCCTCACTCCACAGCCCAGGTTCTTTCCATCCCACTAATTTGTTTCTCTCTATTTAAAAATTCTTAATGCTTCTGAGATTTTGACCTCGACCCAAGTCATTAGAATCATCTGTCAGCTCTAAATATCAATTACATGTAAAATAGAAGCAAGACTAAAATCAGACCATCATTGTCTTTTATTTATACTTTACTATAAATATATTTATTCATACTTATTTTATTTATTTACTTTATAAAAATATATCAAATTATATTTATTACTAATGGCATTATTGTCTTTTATTTATAAAACAAAATTCTTATCCTTGTATTATCTACATGCCCAGGAGATACATAGCTTCAAATCCCTTTGTGATTTGAAAAGCTCTTGGTGAATCCTAATAAAACTTATTAAAACGCCTTTGCCTGTGGGCAAGTTTTCTTCCCTCTTAAAAGCTTAACTCATCTCTCAGGTTGTTTGCTAAAATCGAATTTGCTGTTGGTTTCTCCAGCTGTTCCAAGATAAATTCCAGGGAGTACTGTAGAAACAATGCCCAAAGTATTATACAGCTTGAAGCAGAGCTCATTCATTAACGTTACCTTCTAGACACACTGATTTCATTCATCAAGTCCACATAGTCTGCCCGGATATAACCTTGTAGCAAGCATCCCTCCTACCTTCACTGCCTGGTCTTGTTGAAGGGTATTACTATTACTGATATGAACATACTATTCAATGTCAAATCTAAGTAGAATTTACGTTAAAGAAGTTTCAAGAAGTCCCAATTCCATATCAGCATTTCACTTAAGTCTTTTGTGCAGGACTTAACTAGTCTTTTTGGCAGGTGAGATTTGATACTGTTTGTGATTCCCTTGATAGGTGCTGCACTTTCTTAGCACTTTCTTTGGGCAGACAAACTGTAGATGTTAATCCCATTGGCAATTCTGGCTTTGCGCAGGGCTTCTCTAGCAAGGCCAGTTTAGGATCCTGGATTTCTTCAAGCTTATATTGAATATCCCATTATTTTTAATAACAATTTCTCATATATTATATTTATGAAATTCTGGCACAAGTTCAGCTACTCTTCACTGAAACTCAGAAAAAATATTACGGTTATTTTTCTAGAGTGCAAAGACCATTTTAAATACTACATACATTTTTTAAAAGGCTAGAATTTGGTTTCCAAGATTCTTTGTGGCATCGTGAGCAAGCACTACCTCCACATGTTTATTAGATAGTCTTTCAGCCGATGCATCTTTAAAATACTGTTGAAAACATTCAATGGCAAGTAATTTTCATGGCATCAATTAAACAGTGTTTAACAAACATGGCAAATACTAATATTTTTAATAGTTCATACAAAGTATAACTGAGGTCTTGGTGAGAGGGTAGTTCTGAAGCCAAGCACCTTCTGTCTAAATCCTAGTTCTGCTATCAAAAGCTCCATTAATGTTGATAAGTTATTTCAATTCTGTGTCTTATTATCTTTCTTTATAAAATAGAGATGATAATAGCTCTTATCAAAGCACTGTGGTGAGAGTATAATAAATGTAATGCTGAACACAGTAAGTGGCACTCAATTAATATTAGCTCTTTTTTGTTATTATTAGAAATTTGAGAAAAGGCATCACATTTTTAAAAAATACAAAAGGCATTAGGAATAATTTCCCAATAATTTCATCAAAATTTCTCAAATCATATAGGAATTTTTTTCTTACATTAAGAGGATTCAAATTAATTCCAATTAAATCAATAAAATGCCTTTTCTTCCATTATGACAGTTTCAAATGTTTCTCTTCTTTTTTTTTAATGAAAACACCCAGTTACGGCAAAGATTCAGTGAGGCAAGTGCCTTAGTATCAGCTTCTGGCATTGTACATCAGCACAATATATTTAGAGAGCAATAAAGCAATCAAAAGTCTAAAAGAGTTGTATTTTTTTTTTCATTTTGTCTTGGTAATTTCAACTTTACAAATCTTTCTTAAGTAAATAATTTTTAATTCAACAGCTACTTCCTATGCGCTTATTTTCACAGAGGCGTATATTTTATTATAATAATATTATAATATTATTTATTACCAGGAAAACAAATGGAACTATCTTTATGTTATATAATAAAAGAATAGCTAAGTAAATTTGGTATAGCCACATAGAGATACATTTATGAAGCAAGGAGTTGGAATTCATGAAAAGATTGGCATAATATGGAGACAGGTTTTCTTAATTATTAGGTAGAAAAGTATGATTGTCATTGTGGAAAATATTTATAGAAGATTAAGGGAAATAAACCACCATGTTAATGGCTGCTGGTGGAATTAATTACAGGTAATTTCTTAGGTTTCTCTTTGTTTTTCAGGTATTCTATAAAGAGAATTTATTACTTCTCTGATAATTTTAATGTAAGCATGTAACTAATTAATGTTACATGGTTAAACTCAATTCTCATTCTGTCTGAGCCTTGTATTGACCTGTGGAGTAAAGTCCCCTGAATAAATACTTACTTAGCGCATGCATCCACTTGGAATTCCTCATCTGAAATAGTTATCGTTTGGGGTGCATTGACCTTAACTTCAAACTTGGGCAACACTAGAAACAAAGAGAAATATATTTCAGCCCCTACAATCACTGGTGAACAAACTTATCACAGTCATGTACGTAAGCATGCTTGTATGCATGATTTCCTATATATGCATCTATATAGACCATATTTCAATTGCTCCAAATTTTATACAGCACTAGTCAGTAGTGGTGTCTCATTAATGATAAATTACTCCCTTTTCCTTTCTCTTCCCTAGTCTGAGGACTTCACATTCTCCTTGTTGTAATTCTTCCTGGAAGACTGCCTGGATTCTAGAAAATGAGCTATTTCCTTGTGAGAACAGGCAGGGGTATGAATAAGGATGTGGGGCAAGAATTAAGTAGTACGAAAGGAGAGATGATAAAGCGGAAAAGGCCAAGAAAGGTGGATGGCCTGAAAGCAAGCCAATCGTCTCCTACTTTGACCTCATTCTAACATGAGGTTGTTTTGTTCAGTCCTTTGAACTATTCATTTACACAGGACAACCATAAGCAGCAATTGTTACCATCTCTATTAACAGTAAATTGGTGAGTCATTGTCTTTCCTGATGTTCTTTGCACAGCAATAAAGTAATCTCCAAGTGACGGTTCTGCAATCAATTGGAATGAGAGTTGGGTAATATTTTGAAACGAAGTCACATTTTGCCATTGAAATACTCTATTGTTTTGAGGATCCTAGAAAATGAAGAAGAAATAAAGCAGGTCATATGAGAGTATTTTCTTTTTCTTCTTTATTTTGGATGTTTTCTGTAGTTATTGGAAGTAAAGAAAGTTCTACCAATTTATTGAACTAATGTCTCAAATTGCAAAAAGAATATACTTTCCACACAATCTTATAGTGTACCTCTCTTAGCCCAAAAAGGATAAGAGAAAACAATCCATAACTAATGCTTTTGATTTTGATCTTTCTGAACCGAACTTGCATAGAGGACTTAAAACTCAGTGCATGCTGCAGAGTAGTGTTCTCCACAGTAGGGTAGCCCTACACCAACAGGTGTACACAGAGATACTGATGCCATCAGATGCTTACAAAGATTGTCTCTGATGTTTATTGGGTCTGCAATTAAAGTGGTCATGAGTTACACACTGCATGCAAGAGCTGGTAAAGGAAAGGAAGTTCTATAATAAGAAAGGATTGATAATATTACCCTTTCTCCTTTATTTGCTTTTGGCATATCGCAATTTATGTGAGCATGGTGCAATAAATTTACTGATATTATCCATCTGTTATTTTAAAAATCCTGATTAAAAATGTATACAAAGAAACAAAAACCTTATTCACTACTCACGTTTCATGTTTTGTTTTGTTTTGTTTGTGTTCTTTTACAATAAAGTCAAGAAAGCTGAACTAATTTTCCAGACTTCCTTTCAGGAAGGATTTCCATGTGATCAAGTGCTGGCCAATTAAATGCACGTATAAGTCAAGGGTAGAAATTCTCTCTAAAAGAACCAAACTCGGCTGACGTTGAAAATAAAGCAACACATTGAGGATGGCAGCGGGATTAAGTAGAAGAAGGATGGGCCCTTGGTAATACCACGTTGTTACTGTAATAACCCTGTAGTTGCCATACTCAGATGTAGTGGTTTGTGAAATGTGGTTATTTAATAAACCTTTATTCAATTAAACCAATGTGAGTGAAGCTTTCTGTTGCTTTAATGGAACACAACACTAACTGAATTAGGATGTGAAGATAATACCATTTATATATTACTAATAATGCAGTAAAGATGAAAGGCTGACGTGATTTTTATCCCTGTAGGAGGATGAGCTATTTGTCACTCAAATAACAAATGGGTGGTATTAAATTCAAACTGTAAAGGTGACTATTTGAAGTATGTATTTACACACACAATCATTAATGATGAACCTAGATCTCTGTGTTTTTAACCTTCAGAATTAGTTAGTACTAATAGTACATACTGTACTGTGAAAAGTAAAGTAGAGATGGAGACACTATGTCAAGGGGTTTTCAAATGGGGTCAGGGAGGCCATTAAGGAGATGGGCTGTATGTATGTCTCACCAGTGGAACCATTAGCTTTTGAACTGGGTCAAACCACAAATACGCCAAGGACTCAGTCCCTATTAACAGATTTTGTCTAGAGACAGCCTGGATAGCCAACTAAATTTAGTCAAGATTAGTTTTCTGCCTCCAGTACCAGTAAAAATTCTTTGTAAACATTGTATACAAGAATCCCCTTTTGTCTTTAGAGACCCCTAGTAGCTGAATCTGTGCCCCCCAAATAAATGCTTTGGTTGTATTTCTGCCTCTTTTCTCCATGGACAGTATATAAACTCAAACACCTATATCGGAGTTGATCGATGCAAATGCTTCACCGACGGGCATACAATTTCAAACCGGTTGAAAGCTGCTCTGCCCTTTGCTGGAGATCTGAACTCAGACAAGGAGACTCCATCAACTATTTCCTGAAAGGCAAGAGCCCAGTTTATAATAATATCATCTTCTAATTTATTTTTGGTGTTTTTTTTCTATTTCCTTAAAACAAGATGTGGCTATATTCAGATGGAGAAGGGCCAGCAGCCAAAATTATGCAATTTTAAACATAAATTCTTCCTTAGGAAGAGCCCAATCTTTTTTCCATGAAGAGTCAAGTTACTGTATTTAAAGAGTCAAGTTACTGTGTTTAAAGATTTCTCTTTCCCTTATATATTTCAGTTATTTTAATTTCTGATTATGCATAATGAAAACCAGACACACATCACTATTTTTCTGAATATTAAAATAGTGGGTGTAAAAAGCATATCTCTTACCTGAAGTGTGATCAAAGGATACTAAAAGAAAAAAAATGCATGTTAATATTGTAATAGTGCATTCTTTTTGCCAGATATTGCATTATAAAGATTATTGTACTTAATTTAATTGCTGAGAGTTAGCCCTCACTTTCCCAGAGGACAAAGTTCCTGTAGCTAAAGATGCCAAGAAAATCCCCAGTGTGAAAGAGATCCCAAACCTCTTCTGGGAAGTGGGAAGTGGGTTCCATGCAACCCAGTGTTTCCTTATATGAAGAAAAGACATGAAGTGTATAAATCAACCTATCTTTCAGGAAAGTTTTCTGTTTAAATTTTTTTTTGAGGTTTAGCATGGAAACCATACCTATGTAATATTCCATGTCAGAACACCAATTTCCGTACTTAAAGAATGCTTCCTGGCAACACTTTGTGTAGCAACAAATTTGTTTAAAATTAATTGTACCATTAGAAATTACCGAACTCACCAAATCTTCAACAGGTTTGAACTTGGTGTCCAGTGTCACAATGCGAACTTGAACTAAAAGGGGAAGAGAGGACAATATTTTCTTCTTGTTACTTCTCTCCCAGGTATGATTGCTTGTAAATAGACAAAGATATTTTGCCTTGCTATCATAGAATACTGCGCTCCCTTCTCCCCTAACTCTGATTTGACCCTTGGATATTTGGGTCCCATTTAGAACAATCTCTTATTGCACATTCGCAAATTTCCTCTGTTGATGTTGCTCTGCTGTTACCAAAGCTGCCACTAGCTGTTGCCACCAATGGAAATGTTTTCCCTAACAGCCCATAGGGATATCTTAGAATTTAGTGGTAGAATTAGTCATAGGAAGGCATATGGGAACTACATATGGTAGAAGTTAAACATAGTTTTCCTGGATAAGTATACTGATGTTAGCAAACATTAAATTAATTTTTATCAGAATTCCAGAAAAAACATTTTAGCTACTTTTGTATACATACCTGTCATCATATTATTTTAATAAGTCCAGAAGAGAGAATGGCACCCAGCAAAAAACACCACTATATGAATTCTTTTACTTCTTTTCAATCATACAAACATATATTAAAACAAAAGGCATAGATGCTCTTATCCAATCCTCTAATTTTACAAATGAGAAAACTAAAGATCTCAAAGATCAGAATTTACTTGGCAAAAACCAATAATTTATCAACAGAACCAAGGCACAAACCACATCCTTCTGAACCTTGGTATTTGGCATTCTTCCTGCTACCTTCTACTCAGATAATTATTAAAGAAAATAGGAGGGCTCCCCTTAGGTTGCCATATTTATGAATAGCTTTTACTCTTATGAATAATAATAATAATAAAACTAAACATGATTTATGGAGTCTTTACTGTGTGCTAGGTATGATCTTACAATGACTATCTTATTTTAGTCTCACAACATTTCCATAAGTGAGACATTTTATTTAGTATCTCCATTGTACAGGTGAAAAAACTGAGTCTTGAGAACGGTTTAATTAGCTTGCCCACTTGGGAAATTATGGAGCAACAATTCCAACCAAATAGTTTGTTCCACCTCTCATGGTTGTACCCACTGTGGTATGTAAGTTTGTCACTAGAATTTGTAAACAGTGAAAGTGGCATGCAAATTTTAAGAAGCAAAGCATTCAATTACCTGAGTTGCAGGGCCCTATTTCCTAACTGACCTGGACAACCAGGGAAAATTCTAGAAATCTATGATCTCATAACGTTAAGAATACATAAGACTAACATTTATGTGTTTTGGATTCTCCTAATTTGAAGAATGTGTTCCTAAGGCCAACAGTACAAGGGAAACATGAATGTCGGCTTACCATTCTCTCCAGGTTTGTAGATAGGTTTGTCTGTCTGCACAAAGGTGACAGTCTCTTCTGAAGTGAGTGCCACAGATCTTCTCTCAAAGATTTTAAGAGTAGGTCCCTTAGCCAACAATGTCACAAAAGCCAACTGTTCAGAGGACTTCTGAGAAACCTTTTTATATTAAAGAGTAGAGTATGGGAAATTAAGTTAGGCATTTAGATGGAAAACAATGTCTTAGTTTGGCTTCTCTGGCTGAGAGCCTTGTAAGCCTGTTATTTTTTAATAACAGACTTTGTGATCACTTGCTACAAGTCTTTATTTAACATGAACACAGTTTCTAATAAACTTCTATTTTCTTGCCTTCATATTCTTTTTTTTTGACCTCAGTCCCAATCCTACTTCCCTCTCCCTAGATTCTCTTTCCTCAGATTGTTAAACAGTTCTACCTAAAATGCAGTAATAATGTATTTTCATCACTCCCTATAATAGAGAAATGGCAATATTTCACAAGTTTTTTTTGCATATGTGAATATTCCTTTTATTTATTGCTCTCAGGAATCCTCTAGTTTTACTCCCAAGCTTCCACAATTCATCCAAAAATCAAGACTTGTTCTCTTTCTAAAATGTTTTTAAGTAATAATTTCATCTTCCCAACTTAAGTTCTGAAATGGCAAATTTGGTGCCTCACCTTGAAATCTGCACAAGCATAGAAGTTATCCTTTTCCACAGACTGGTCAAAAATAGTGGTATTGAATCCATCATATTCTAAGACAACACTTAAGGATACAGATTCATTAAGGTTTAAAAGGTGGAGACAAGCCTTTTCTGTAGAATGACTTTGCATCACCGAGGAGACCCATAGGATATATTGCCTATGCAAAAAAGCAACCAACACTCTAAACAAGGGTACAGAAATGCAGAAGATGCCTAAAAAGAAATTTTAGCTTATTTAAATATTCTTGAAACAGACTTTTTCATAGTATTACAACAAATGAGAATGCAGAGAGAGAGATCTTAAGAAAAAGAGGTCAATTCTCTCCATACACTCATTTAGAATTTACAAGGCAAATCAGCACTCAGTCTCAGAAGTTGAAATGGTAAAATCAAATTTTAACAGAACATATTTAATATTTAATAAGGTCACTTTCCTAGTACTTTAATATGAATAGAGAATATAGTATTCCCTTACGGTTCTGAAGCCACAGGAACAGTAAAATGAAGCAAAAAGGTGCTCAGAAAAATGGTGAGCACCATTTTATCCTAATGCCTGAACAATAAAGACTTCAAGATAAATATTCTTTCTGATTATCTCTTTCTTTCTTATTAGAAGTCAGCTGCCTTGACTCTCCACTTTCCTTCCTTCTACTCTGCCTTTCACTGTATATTGTTGCTTTTATAGTCACACACAATAAAGGATTAATTACTTTTTGGAGTAAGTATCTTGGGACCCACCAATCACGTTTCGATCACCTCGCCCATCTCCTCCCCTGGGGGGGAGTCACTTTATATACAACTTCCTTCTTAAGTTCACTGGATGCTGCTGTGTTTTGGAATCAGTAGCACAGGTTGGACAGGAAGAGGGAGAAAAACAAAGAAAGCAGTTGTGTGACACTTAAAGAATTCATTAATTTAATTTAGCACCTCAGACTACTGACTACAGGGTCAAAAACACTAATACACAAGAATTAGGACTTGGAAGGAAAACACACCTCCAAAGAGTTGTTATTTCAATTCCTGAAAGGTAAATGTTCAAGCTTCTGAGAGAAGTAACATATTTGATGTTGCCAAAACACAGATGCAAACAGACATCTCAGTATGGGCTATATCACAGATATTTGAAACTTAAGTTATTCTTTTATAATTTCATAGTATGGAATGCAGCATTTAAAATATTGACACGCATGTAGTATTTACTATGCTTTTCTAAGTGAGGTATTCTTCATAATGTTCAATATCCTTTTCTACCCAAAATATATTTAAGAAAAAAATGGAAGAAAAGGTATTTGGCATGTATGTGTGTACACATACACCAGTCACTTCTTGGCAAAGAAAAAAAAAACGCTTAACCATCAGTTTGATGGCAAAACATTTCTACAAGGAAAATGAGCCACATCACAGAAACTGACAGACTGATAGAGTCTCCAGGGTGTTAAATCTCCTATTTGTCTTTTTTTTTTTCCTTTTCTCTTTTCTTTTCTTGTAGAACATCTTTCTTCTTTAAAGTATTGATGGAGTTGATGCATCTGGCTTGAAAAATGTTATACTGGATAATGAAAGACAGGAACTGGTTCAATCTTTATTTCTAAAAGGCTGTAATACTGCAACAGAAAATACAAAGGAAAGAACAACAAAACCAGTTATAAGTGATTAGGAGATTGTAGTGCAAGTAGTAAACTGAGACCCAGGAAACGTGTGAACAAGCGTTCCTTGTTGACTGTATCACATTCCAACGCAGAATTGAGTTTATGAAAAACCTTGCAGTGTTATTCTCTCGGGGAGACTGAGACATGGCTCTCTTCCCTATTTCTATTTAGGACTTTCATTTTCGTCTGCCTTTCCTCTAACCCTGCACAGGGAGCCACGTCTCTTAAAATCTCTGCTACAGAGCTAATCCTCAATTGTTGGCCTGCCCCAACAGTTCTAAGGTTTAATTTCTTTCAAGCTTAGTCTCTGTTTTTGACCAAAACCCTTCCCTCTGTTAGCTCCTTAGGTTTATTATTAAAACCACTCTCTATACTTTACTCAATATATCAGCTAAACCAAGTCAGTAGCTTCCAGAGCAACTGAAGCTCACCAGCTTTCACTCATCAGCATTAAGACAAACAGCACCACAAGGGGGATTGTTTATAAATAAGGGCAACCAATTCTTTATTCCCAAGACAGTTAAGTCTAAAGTCATGAAACTTCTCTAAAATATTTGCATTTTACCATTATACTGAGTAAATGGCTCTATTTATCTTGACTTTAATCAAGGTCATTTATTATAAACAGAAGTATATGTTTTGCATTCTTCTTTTAAATCACCTTAGGAATTAGCATGTTCTTATGATATCTCTTTCTCCAAGTTTAATTTTATCTATTATTATCTATTATTGTTTTAGTGTGATTACATGATATGTGATTAATGTGATTAAATTAATATGACACATTAATGTGATTAATGTGATCAACATACTAAAATAAATTTATCTGAATAACATGGTCTTCAGGTAACAGACTCTTATCCTAGAAAATGCAGGTATGAACCCAACAGTATGTGTTGTGTACTTGCTTTGTATCAGCAATAGTGTTGGGTTCTAGAGATAAAACAGTAAGACATAATTTTCTGAAGGAATTTATTTACCTTCTAGTAAAAAAGGGAAGAAAGGGAGGAAGGAAGCAAGAGAGAGAAAGAGGAAAGGAGGATGGGGGTGGCATGGGGATGAAGGAAGGGAGGCACTGTAGAAAAGGGAGGATATTTACTGAGTACTTAATATGCAGCAAGCAGAATCTCTTTTAACAATCATAAATTTAGATCAAAGGATATATTCGTATGTAGGAATACAAAAGGACATGGATTAATGCAATGTTTTTGATGTTCATAGTAAATTTCTGCTGAGCAAAGGAATATATACTAGAAAATACATATTTCATCATCACTTGGCAGATTCTTTATTGTTTATGTTATTGGTGTTCGCTGCTATGGGAATGCCTTCATGCACTTCCTCATTCAGTACATATTTATTGATACCTACTATCTGCTAGAATTATGGTAGATGGTGGAGATTAAGTTGTTGGAGTTATTCCATCAGGAAAGGCAGAGGCTAAATAACTAACTGAACAATTATTTATTTCATTATGATCATGGAAAGAACTACAGGGGACCGTGAGAATGTAATGTTGAGGGGGACTTAATATTGAACAGGTCCTGGTTTTAAATAGATGAGTAAGTCTACTTCTTTTCCGGGAATAGTTCAGCAGGATATGTAACATAAATTGCAGTGCCATGCGTTACAAAGACTGTTCTATGTTGAAATGATGAGCAGTGCTCAATGTAATCACATTAAAACAATAATGGCAAAGCTGGAAAAGAATTTAATTATAAGGTTTTGAAATATCATGATTATGAATTTTCCAGGTAGGGTAGAAGCTGAAGAAACTGTTCCTGAAGCAAAAACTTTTTGAAGAAAATTATAAAATTCTAATAAAATACTGTGTGTGTTTTAAAAATAATAGTAGGTTCAATTTTGTTCGAGAAATGTGCGTGGAATGAAATGACATTCAGTAAGCTTACTGAAAAAGGTTGTGGTTGACTTGTAAAAAATCTTGTTCTCACACTAAGAATTTGAATGTTATTTTGAAGAGTAGGGAATATGATCACCCTGTACTCCAAGGGGAACAGAGAAGAGTGAGTGTAAAAGGTCAGTAAGAGAATCACATTTGAGTTGGCTCTAAAACTACCCTAGGTTACAGAGGTAAGGGTCTGAATAATAGCAGTAATTCTTCAAGAAATAGTTTTTTCACTCCAACTGCTATAATTTGAGGCAGTTTTGATATGGGGATGAAGAAGAGAGAGGGAAGGATTGCTACTTGTGGTGAATGTGGCTGCAATTAGACAAGACAGAGACGATACACGAATATAGAGATGAAGTGATGAGCAAAGTTCCATTCAGGTGTGGGCTGACTGCAGGACAGCACAGGGGTGATACCCAGTAGACAGCAGAAATAATAAATCTGGTGTTATGGAAAAGTTGGAGAGGTGGATACAGATTTGGGAATCATTACATCATACAGATTATATTTAATACCACAGACATTGCCCTAATTATATAGGAATACCATTTATAAAGGGAAAGATGATAAACAAAGCTGAGAGAAAGACTGGTGAAGATCTGGAGACTCTCCAACTGGGTGATGTTTATCAGGCATGGAACAACATGGTTTTATTTCCTTGACTGAATCTGAGATGATGCCTTGAAATGTTGTTTTGACACAATACATTTTACAAATTCTTTAAACAACAGGAAAATATTTTCTTGATTTTCCTGTCTGCTTAATTAATGACAGTCCATTTTAAGTGTCAGAAATTTAAAATCTATTTCAGCATGCCTGAGAACATCTTGAATTTCTAATTCACCTTTATAAAATGCTTAAGCCAACACTACAAATAAGAGTATTGCCCAAGACCAGTGATCTATAGGCAGGCAATTATGCTTTAAAATAAACAAAACTATTGAGTTGCTGATGTTGCAATCCACTGAAAGGGAAATTGCCTTTTCCTCATAAAGGAACACCTGCTTGACAAGTGAAATTGCCCTTCTTGTTCTCAGATATTTTTATCTCCTGCAACACTGATTGATTGTTAGAGTTGCCAAGAAATTTCTAATCACACAATGCTCACCTGTGGATGAATGATTGAAAAAAGCAATAGAGCAGAAACAGATGGAAAATGAAGGGCCAAGTGAATAGCTATGATGTGACTGGGTTTCAGAGCCACATTTTTTTCAACTCTGCAAACAAAGGTTGACCATGTCAAGGAAAGGATTTCACCTAAGGTTATTTTGGGTCAGTTTTTATCTTTCCATTTGCCTAAGTGTGTGTTCACCACCAATCCTAAATAATACCACTCCACCCAAACAGACAAACAAATAAATAGATGAATGTCAAGTGGACTCTTACCAGATGCTACCACCCATACGGTAGTTCAGGCCTCTTCAGTTCTACAACTCTTTTCTTTACTAGAGAAAATATCAAAAGGTTGAGGTGACCAGTGGATGAAGTGGGGTAAGGATGTATAATAATGATATAACTATAATGTAGAATTCATAATTAGGTAATTCATCATGGAAACCACCGTCTCCCTGAAAATTTCTGTTAGCTGTCCTTGGAGAAACACAGCCTTAGCAAAATATTAAGGCCCAAATTAGTATTATCTATTCAACACAAAGATTTATTCATTGGTTTAAAAAATATGTATTGGTATGTGTTGTAGGTCTTGTAATTCAGTAGAAACAAAGAAAAATAATATGTTTCATTTTTTTCAAGAATATGGTGATATGATTGGTGAGATACACACAAAATCAATTTCAGACCATGTATATGCAATGATAGAAAAACACATTTTAGGAAATTTTCTACCAGCAGGAGGGCAAGATCAAAGAACAGTCCCCCCAAAGAGGTGTCCATGGAGAATCTTCAGGTTTTAAGTCTTACTATTGTCTAAAAATCAGAACTGTGATCAGACGCTGTCCTCCATACCCAGGACTGCTCTTACTCTTTAACTTGAACAGACAGTGCAGCAGTAAGTGAAACTGGGAAGAAGGTAAGTTATAAATATGTTAGAAGTGGGGCCAAAAATTTTTG